AACCGGCTTTGAGAATCAGAAATTCTGACTGGTACCTACTCCAGAAACATACCTCGTCAGCATGTCCGCTCACTTTGAATTTTCCTTGATTGTCAGTCTCAGCCGAATCCATGAATTCGTCTGGTGTTACTGAAAATGAAACTCTTGAGATATTCATCGTCATAAAATAAGAAGGGAGCCAGTGACATCGCATATTTTTCCAACGGTCAAACTATTAATACCCCGAACGGGCGCCTATTGGCACCACCCTCAAAAAATAATGCCATATTCGTGACCAGGGTGCGGCCCCTTTTCTGCGGGCGAAATTTCAGCGATTTTTTTTGAGATTTTGGGGTGTAGTAGCACAATAGTGCTGGTATTTCTTGGATCTGTACGCAGAGTTGCTGTCGTTTGCAGTCCTACCAACTGTTCACAGTCGCCAGTAATCATCAAGTAGTAGACATAGCAAGCTGTGAGCGTACTTATCTAGCTATTTTCAGAGTACGGAAGGCCGCATTACAAAGCCCTGCCTCAGCACCTAGATCTGCTCATTGCACGGGAGCCGCGTTTTCCTTTACCTATAAGACTCACGGGAGAATAATGTCTCTAGCCCCTCAAGGACCAGAATACAGCTATGCGGACACCCATTATGCAGCAAACAATGTTTCCTAGCTAGTACTCAACATACTTTGACGTAAATCAATTAGATCCCAAAGTGAAGCAGCGCCCAAGCTACAATAACTTGCAACAAAGTTCGAATGCACCGTGGATCTCCTTTGCTTCTATGCTACACTCCCAGAACTCACCAGTGTCATGCTCATAGAGCTTCACTAAAACACTCTGTGCCGGCTTGTCTTCACACATCAGTACACCCTCGACGGATGTCGATTGAGTGTGACCGATGGCGTGAGCAAGATTAGCAAATGACAAAAGTACGAGCAACTTCAATAACATACCTGAAAAAAGAAGTGAAGTGTTTGTGAGAGAAATTTGGGAGCACCTACCCTACACTCCACATCCCGGAGATGGGGAGGAGTAGGATGTATTAGGTTGATCAAAAAGTTTTGATAGGGTTTTTTTGAAAGTTCCAGAACTTTTGATTCTGATCCGATACCAATGACTTGCTATGTGGTAGTGGTGGGACATTCTAGGATTTTCCCCGCAATGGTTATATAAATGGCTGCGACTTCCCTCCTTTAGTCTTGGAGTCGCGGATGTCAATTTCCCCAGACCGATGTTCGATACATGCATCTTCTACGAGTGCCGCCTACCGAGTGGCGGCCGCGGCAATCGGAAGCGACGTTGCAACGCGTACACAATAGCGGGAGGAAGGGACGCCACTGTCTGATCGTTACGGTCCAATGCGCTGTTCGCATCGTTTCAAGTGAAGGAGACATGGACTTTGAAGAGAAGCCCGATCGGGATGCCCCCCCCCCGCAATTGTCCACCGACTCCGTCATTCTCGACGCCGTCAAAGAGGACCCACAGTCTTGCGATGAGACTTGGGTGCGCCCAATCAACACTCGTCGGTCGCCTTCAGGCCCACGGTTACAGAAAAGTGCTGACTCGATGGATACCTCATGTCTTGACCGATAGCATGCGGTACACCCGGGAGTATCCATTTGTCAGTCTCTCCTTCTCCGCCCACATCGCAAGGAGTTTCTGGAGGACCTATGATACCTGACAGATGGAAGTCGGAGCCTCGTGGCATCTGGATTAATCTAAGAAGTTGGAATCCATAGAATATTTGCTTAATGTCTGATGTTTTAGTTTTTTATTATAGTGGAATTATTGATCAAGGGTTATTTTATAAGTTAAGATAAATTGAGAAGAAGAAATATTTTGGTCTTATGATATTTCCTCCACCACGCCTACGAACTCAGCACCGGCGCTGTTCTGCTCCCGCGGGGAGGAGCGCCGCCGACACGCAAGCCAAACGCGATCCACCTCCACGCCCAAGACAATTTTTTTTTCTCCTTTGCTGCTTCTGGGATTCAAAAGGAATGCTGTACTACGAACTGCTCAAGCAAGGCCACACCGTCACCGCTCCCTATTACGCTGGTCAGCTGCAGAAACTTGCGGAAGCCGTTCGAGAAAAACGGCCTAGACGAACTTTGTGCACCTCCTCCATGACAACGCTAAGGCCTCGCATAGGTAAAAAGAGACCCGTGGCTAAATAGAAGTGAGCTAGGCTGAACACGGTTCTCCACATCCACCACTATTTCACCTGATATGCCCCCCCTCATGATTCACTTCGTTCCAGGCCCTCAAGACTTTCCTAGCAAAAAAAAAACGATTCGTCAACTACTTATGACCACCTTGAAAAGTGGTCGGTGACTTCTTTGACTACCAGTCTTCCCAGTTCTGGAAATCGGAAGAAGGAAATCGTTGACCCTGCCCGTTAGGGTGAAAGCAATGTTGTGACTAACGATCATTATTATAGTTGTTGATTAGCTTGCATTGTCATTGCTAAGTTTGTAAAAAGTGAACAGAAAAGATTCCGACCCTATCAAAACTTTTTGATCAACCTAATATTTCGTATGAGATCTCCCTCTTTGAGACAACTGTCATCTTGTCTTTTGCTGGACAAAGACGCTACTGTAGTTGTTCCAGAATTAGATCCCACGAAAAACACGTCTTCCGCACGTAAAAATGAAGCACGGCGCCACGTCCTCCCCACCTCAGGGATGTGATGTATAAGCTTGCACATTATGTTGCATGATTATGCTGTAATTGCACATATACCGAGAATCATGTAAACGCAGAAATATACTGATAAATATAATTACAGAATATAAACACATAAGGATAAAGGATAAAGTCTTCGCCGTTGATCAATCCCTTTGTGGGATGCGGCACGCATTCTACTTCCATTCAGAATCGTAGTGGCTTATTGAATGCGATGTGGAGCATACAGTAACTCCGATGTACAACTCAGTTTTATCCTCCCAGACGAATCTGGTACCAGCCGTGGTATTTACCGTCCCCGGAGGGTAGAAGGCTTGGTTGGCCTGGGCGGGAGTCGACCCGGGAAATGAACCCGGGACCGCGCGGGTGGTGAACGCCTCACATATACTCGAAATCCCTGAGATCGGGTAGGCGTGGCTGCGTACTTGATTTTAAAATGGCGGCGGCCCAGGTTTTCGTGAG